ATATTGATGACAACACATTTGAAAATTTTGCATTTCGTTGTTTGTCAAGCGTCTAATGTCAAGTATAAATAGAATAGAAGTTAAAAAAAAAAAAAAAAAAAAAAAAAAAAAAAAAAAAAAAAAAAAAAAAAAAAAAAAAAAAAAAAAAAAAAAAAAAAAAAAAAAAAAAAAAAAAAAAAAAAAAAAAAAAAAAACAATATAATTGATATGAGAAAATGCATTTTTTTTGAGAGATTATATGTCAAGATAGGAAACTCCGTAATAAAACTGATCGTAAGTCGTTATTACGTGAACGTTGCTTGAAAGACAACGACGAGACAATCGTACGAACCATTTTATCGCTCGATTTAAAGAAAAATATTTACAAGTATATGTTTTAATTAAATTTTTTTTTTGTCATATATAGATTTATATATATATATATATATACATGTTTGTATTAAATTATGTACAAATTCGTTCTACGTAGGTATAAATTAACGAGATACGGATGACTGTCGAGAATTCATTTCTTTATTAATTTCCATCTCACATGATTCTACTCTTTTTTTCTCTCTCTTTCTTCTCGCTATATAATATTTTATTTGCAAGCATTATAGATTTAGATGCTATAAAATTTTTATAAAATTATATAAAATCTTTAACGATCAAAAGTTGTTTGTTATTGAAAGGACGAGAAAGTTAAATTGAGTCAGATCTACTAACAAGATGTAATTGCGTCAAAAATCATTTTTCTTCATTTTCTTCTACTATAATAAAGTTCTATTCTATTCTATTTTATAATTCTTTTGAGGGAAATATGGAATCGACTGAACATTTGTTCATAAATGTGGATAAATAAATATATATATATATATATATATATATAATATATACACACTTAGTAATATATATATACACGCGTGACACGTTTATCGACGACGCAAAAAGAAACGGCGTTTGTTTACGCTATGAAAGCAAAGAAACGCGGCGCAATGGCCGCGTTGTGTCGGCAATGACAGCTGCTAGCGTCCTGCATTTACGTAGGATCTGGATAATACCCATTTGATTTAACATCAAAGGTAGACGATAATTTTTCGAAACAAACGAAAGAACAAGTATCATACTTCGTAGCAAAAATAATGCAATATCTATTTATTTTCTTAAATCCTATTCGAAAGAGATACATACATACGTTGAATTAGTGGTAACGCTTTATTTTAGTGGATGCCAACTTCGTAAGAAATTTTCCCAGAGGATGACTAATCCAAATATTTAAATATCCGTGAAATGGCCAAATTTCGTGTGATGATAATATATTTTTAAACGTGGGATGATGGGCGTTGATTTGATCATTACTTACCTCCTAAGAGCTCATCCAACGTAAATTTCATCGAGGATGACATATCTAATGCACAAGGAAAAAAAAAAACTAGGCTTCCGTTAAACAACAATCACGAATAGTACAACGATCCGAAAAAGCGTGTACAACCGAGCGACTTACTTCGTGCGCGTACACGTATGACAACGTAGAAACGTGACGTACTCGCTACGAATTATCACGATAAAATGCCAGCCCGGGCCTCTCGCGTAGTTGCTGTGCCTTTGTTTTGATGAAACGTCAACACATACAGCTCGCCCGCGCTAACCAATCATGTGGCCGCGCGCGCCTCACCGGGTAATACTACGTAAGTCAAGCACGATGAGAAAGACTACGTTATTCAAATGAACGTCTATCACTCTTTTCCTTTCTTTCTTTCTTTCTTTCTTTCTTTCTTTCTTTCTTTCTTTCTTTCTTTCTTTCTTTCTTTCTTTCTTTCTTTCTTTCTTTCTTTCTTTCTTTCTTTCTTTCTTTCTTTCTTTCTTTCTTTCTTTTTTTCTTTCTTTCTTTCTTTCTTTCTTTCCTTCCTTCCTTCTTTCTTTTAGCAAGATGATATTTCTTATATTTATCCAAAACATAAAATATCCAAATGAATCAAATTATTACTATTACTAGACAATCTTTTATCTTACTATCTGTGCGAGGTTACATATATTTTATCGATTAGAATTATGAAATATTATTTTTGGAAAATTATTCGAGATAACGATTAATAAAATAATTGGTTATTTTTATATGTAAATATATCGCAAATAAAAATAGATATGATACTGGGCATTGTCAATATTTTTCTTAAATTCGCAGGCGAATAATCGTTTCGAATAATAACGTTATCGATGAAACATATCTATTTCTAATTTCTAATTATTGTATTGTAAATCTATTTATTTTAGAAACAACTATATTATTCCCAAAGGAGAGGAAGAATTAAATAGAATGTTATTATTTGAAATAGTTACATTGACATATTGACGTATATATTTATGATCGCGGCCGCTGCTCCCTTGCTAAACGCGATGGCAGCACCGTGCAACGTATTAGTCGAAGCGTTAATTTGTGTTGCGCGACACGTATTTTACTCATGTGCTGCGTAAATCGTGTTTCCTACGTCAAGTCAACTCAATTCTCGTTATCAAAAGGTATGTTTACACTTCAGTATATAGCGAGAGGGAATTTTTATCGTCAATAACAAGAGACGTTCGGTACAAGCCACGAATAGGCACCAGAAAACTTCCTCCGGAATCGTTCTGCGTAGATTGTTAAAAATGGTCGCCCCGTAGGTGATCTGTCAAGCAATCTTGTTCCATTTTGTAATTATTATGAACCGGTAGATAAAAGTATTCCAAATTTTTAGTGTATAACGCATTTCAAGTTTAAATTCGAGGTAAATGTGAGTTAGATCGTTCTAGGAGCGTATTATATAGCATTAATCTTCCCATATGCGTAAACGAAGCAGCAGTTGCATTCTTAAACGTTCCGTTTGTTGTCTCTCAAGGTGTCTCGAAGAGTTCAAGGTTCTATTTCGTCAGGCACTTTCCAAACTTTCAGTTTTTATGTACACATCCGATTGTCTATAAGAATACCGAGAAGAAAAACGATCCATATGGTGTTTTTTATGTTTAATTACACGAGATTGTTAATTGATCAATGCAACTAAGAATAACAAAACTATATGCACAAGATAGAGTGTATTGACATTGGGTTTGTAAAACTCAATTTTTTTTCTTCCGATCACAGAAGATAATATGGTTATAAGAAAGAGAAAGATTATTCTTTGTCTTTCATGCTTTACATAGTATTTCATATGTAAATCATAAATATATGAGGAAAAAAAATATTTCGTTTTTTTTACCCAAAAAGAATATTAGTATTATTTACCAGCAAAAAATATAAAAGAAATTTTTAAATTATAGATTATCCTTTAGTAAAGGATCATTTATAAAGGTGGTATGAAAATGAAGATTCCAAGCAGTGGCTCTGGCAACGGATACTACGGCCACGAGAATAGTGTGATAACATACTTTGATACTACCCTTGACACGGAAACTGATGTGCAAGGGGCTAGTGATGGAGATTTTTCTGAATATCTTTGGATGGAAAATGAAGAAGAATTTGATAAACAGGTCTTTTTGTGACATTTGTGTCTCTAATATAACAATTAATTGAAGATTTTTTTTTTAAGTTCCAGTATATATACAGAATTTATAGGTTAAAGATTTTACCGTAGGTATTACAACAATTAGAAGAGGAAGAACTAATGGAAGAATGTCTTGAGGCGATGTTAGAAGAAGAAAGACAACATGAGAGAAACATAAATTCAACTGCCTGGTCAACTGCCACTAGTATTCCATACAATAATGGTGCTGAACTTTGTCAACAACTTAGTGACTTGAGAATGCATGATGATCTTGCAAAACAGGTATCATTTTTTCTTGTTTTTTCTTCTTTTTTATTCAAAAATATGAAATAAGTTGATTTGGATACAAAAATTTTGGTTGGCAATTTTATATTTTAGAGTACATTAAATCCAGATGCAGCTGAATTTATACCAGCATTCAAGGCAACAGTGACGTCTGTAAGTACACCACCAGAAGTCACTGCTGAATCATCGTAGAGGGCCTACTTCTTTTTGTTTAAAACACTTAAAATGAAGCTACTATCGTAGCTAAATTTTGCCATCCTTGGTCAGGCAGTCGTATTAACAAAATCTAATTAGGAACTAAATGATTGTGGCTATACTTAAAACAGTATGAAATAATATGACAGTGGGTAGTATGCGACATTGTTATTTAATGTCGAAAATTAGTAAGATCAGTTGTATAATTACTGATAGATGCTGTACATTACTCACATCTTTATGGACAAAATAATATTATACTATATTATGGCCATTTAATTTTGTGCCGGATCTGTGTTGACAGAATTAATAGCTACATACATAAGTTACTGATTGCATAAATTTATGTAGGTTACATCCCTTTCATTATATTTCTTCTCGAATATCATTTCTTGCATTCTTTACTGACATTTTATTGAATATATTGCAATGATATATTAAATCTGCTTCAAACTTATAAGTGATAATTATTTGAGTGCATGGAAGATACATTAAACATATAAGATTTTATTAATACCTTTAAAAACAAAAAAAAATAAAAAAAAAATAAATAAAAATAAAAATAAAAAAAAAAAATAAAAAAATTAATGTGTTAATGCAATATTACAAGTTACATTTATATTTTATGTATGTATACACTGAAACAAAGAATACAAAGAAAACTCAAATTGTTTGTTCTCTAAAATGAGTTTTTTACAATGTAGTACTTTTAAAGCTTTACATATCTCATTAGCAATTGAGATATTTATGCAGAGTTCCTTTTATTGAACTTAATTTATGATTGATATATTTTGCAGAATCATTGGTAAAAATATTGTACTTGCTTGTAAAAAAGATTATGTAAAATATTAATCATGTGTCAATATACAAGAGAATTTTTTAATAGCTTATAATATATCACATTAATATTAATAATACTATTTATATTTCTCGATGTATCCAATGATGCATAATATTCTGTTTAAAATTATATTGTTGCATTGAAAAACTTATTTTTGAAAATCATACTAACTGTTTTTAATTCTTTGTCAGCAATCATTTAACAAACTGAAGATCTCAAGTGAAAGTCTTACTCAGGCTGTGAGGGACTCTCTTTGACTCTCCTTAGTTTTACTGAGAGAGTCAGTACATTACATACTTATTTTCTAGAAGAATTTCTATAAGATGATGTAACAAAATTTCGTAGGTTATAAATCGTGAAATGTATCCTTATTGAAATTTAATGAAACATATATAGTATAAATCATGAATGTACTTGCAGTAATTTGCTTGAATTGCAAGAAAGATAATGTTTATAATTTCTATTAAATTTAATTTGGAAGTTTATTAAAGATTTATTCAAAAATTTTCCCATAAATTCAATTATGTAGAGTATCAATTAGAAATGTACCTATATAGTATGCTATATGTTTTTCGTGTCTCCTATTGTTTTACTTATTTTTTTTTTTAATTTTTTGTTCACTTAAATTATAACATATTTCAATTCAATATAACGTTTATTTTCATTATCATTTTTGCAGTTCAAGATCACACTGATGATGAAAGCAAATTTGTCACATACATGTAATATATATATATGGAACTATTAAATATGAATATAGAAATTTTGTTAGTATTCTCTCAATAAAAATTCTAATGACATGATATCATAAAAATGCATAAAATAGTATGTGGTAAATATGTTTTATCGCAACCTTATATAGCCTGAATGAGTGCTGTGATTATGAAAATGAAGTAAACAGATTTCATTTAGTACAATATTGTTTGCATTAAGACATCACATTATATTTGTTATATATTATGCTAGTATGTTACCATTCCTGCGCTACACGACTCATTAAGTGATTTTTTGCATTAAATCTTTTATTAACCACTTTTTTATCATTGTTTAAATTATAAACCATCAAGTGACTCTTTTTCAACTTGAATTCCTTTTGCATAATTATTGCATCTATTTATTGGATGTACGTACATTAGCCTTTATCAAAAAATATGAGAGCAAGATTTGAAAATAATTATTTTTTATTCTTCTCAAATATTATGGTTCAACAAAAGAAATTCAAGAAAATTTAATGATCTCATTGCACATACCTTATAATTTGAATTAATGTGCGATTGTATAGAGACTGATTTTTTGTCTGTAACATTTTAGGTTCAGATCTTCAGCTAAATCTCATATGGATATTCAATTCTACTTTGAAATTGCCAATCTAATCTCTATATGGAAACCAATGGGCAACTGAAAATATTACTCACTCTCTCTCTCTCTCTCACTCTCTCTCTCTCTCACTCACTCTCTCTCTCTCTCTCTCTCTCTCTCTCTCTCTCTCTCTCTCTCTCTCTCTCTGTCTCTTTCTGCATAGTATAAAACTGAGCAAGCATGGAATGACTCTGATTCTTAGAGAATTTTATACTGTCAAGTAAAAAATTGCTATTTGTAAAAGAATTGGAAGTAGAATTCATTCATTATATATAAGAAAAAAAAATAAATAAAATAAAAAAAAAAAAAAAAAAAATAAAAAAAATAAAAAAGAACATGTACAGTAAATGTACATGACGAAGTAACTAAAAAAAAGTTTCTGAATGTAAAAAATATATATCACTGTTGTATTCATATAACACCTCTTAATCTTTTAATCTGTGTCAATTTACACAATATTTTTAAATATGAAAGTTTTGATAGCACGTCTACATATATTGCATTCAACTTATTGTATTGCACCTTTCACACATCAAAGCTTTTACAAAAGTACAATATCTCAATATTTGTTCAAACTATTCTTTCAATATTTTGTTATGTGTCCTTTAAGAACAATTTGGTAGTCAAGATAAGTGACTACCAAATTGTCTTAAATTTACTACTTTTAACTCATTATATATATAATAATTTAGATTTGGAAAACACATTTAAAATGTTTTTTAATAGTATAGAACAGTGTTTGTGCAAAATATTTAGTTTTATTAATGAAGTAGTTTTAATTTGTTACATCCTGCTGATATTGGTTGAGATAAAAATTGTAATATAGAAACAAATTTTAATCTTTTTTTATTGCTGGTATTCATTATTTTTATTGTTCTGTTATATATAAACATAAACTAAAGTAATGGATATATAAGTAAGTTCATTAATTGAATATATTCTTGAAATACAAGTAACATTATCTTTTGGATTTTGTAACAAAGCAGCATATAACAAATTAATGTGAAAATAGTATATGAATGTAGAATACATATTATATATAACACCGTATGGTTTTATATCCTATAATAATTAGTAAATAATATCGCATTTATAAGTTTTCCATCTGGTTCTTGTTCAAACCTTTTTTGTAGCATTTATGTAGCATATAAATAAAGTATATATATATATGTATTGATAATGTTCAATGTAATTCTTTTTTATTGCAGATCTGATTTACTAAATTATACATACCCTATTATTTTGAATCTCTTATATGTAGTAGGGTATATGTAAATACGGAAGTCCCATTGATAAGAGATAAAAATAATATATAAATGTATATATATCGTATTGGGTTAAAACTGAAATATATAAATTGAATAGACTAAAAATAGTAGTATCTAAAAAGCATCACCTCTCTTATATTTGGCAGCATATTGGTATTACATTTTTTTTATGTGTAATTTTTACATATATTATTGTTGTTTACAGTAGTAGAAAATTGTTGCCACTGTATTTTTGGCATATTCACTGCATGCATATTCAATGCATTCAATTTTTTTTTTTTTTATTATCTTTTTTTTAGGTATCTTAAATTATATGTGTCAACATCAAATATTAAGTAATACATGCTTAAGTGAATAAATTAATCGAAAATAAGTCGTATTATAAATCCCAAAAGGAATCAAAAGAAATTGCATTATCAGCTAAGAAATTAACATATATTTACAGTATCAATTAAATTTGTTTATACTTTATAATTTATTTCCAATATTTATATCATTTCTGTAAAAACGTTAGTAAAATAATGATTAATTGGCAAATATTCTATAAATATATTGAAATTTTCAGTAAGCTGTGTTTTTAATGAAACTATGCTGATAAATTAATTATGTATATTGATATAAGTTCAAGTTACATATAATTGCAGATCACTAATTGTATTGAATATCATTAAAATAATTAAAAATAATAGACATTGAAAGTAATTGCAATATTTTTTTATATACTATTGTAACATCAATATAGTTTCTTTTTATGATCCAGATTATGTTTTTTTATTTTTTTATTATAAATACATTTCTTACATAAATCCATTGAAGATTTGTATATCTTTAGTTAGTTTTTATTCGTGTTTATAGTATAAAAATTTTAAATAATATTCACTCATAAGTATATAATTATATTCATTTATATACACATATTTTTTTGCTTGAAATACTTTGTTGACAGTCTCTTTATTTCAATTCAATACTGAATTTTTATTAATATTGTATTGTAAACAACATAAAAATAAAATAAAGTTAACGTATTAGTTAAACAATTGTTTTTTTTTCTATGTGTTATTATGTTTATTATGGTTCAATGATTGTTTCAAGTAATTTTTATATATATTTATTATATAGAAATATATATATTTATACTCAAAACACAGCTATACTTCAAATAAAGGAATGTCAAAAGCAATAGACACATAGTAATATTAATACATATTAAAAAATTGTAAAGAATTCATCAAAATGTAATGTTGTGTCAACAAGAACATGATAAGTCTAGTACATAGTAGGCATTGCTTATCTTTTCAGAAACTAATATGTATATATAATAAAATTTTTATTAAAATATACCTTGTAAAATCAAGCATACTGAAGTTAAAGTATGCCATTAAGGCACAAGAAATAATTCCTTGTCAGTCGTTTCTATTTCTGCAATTAAGGTGTTATTATTATAATTGATATAATAAAAATATAAATACTTTAGTGAAATACATATATCATAAACAATTTATCTAACACCTGTAAATCTAAAATTTATAAATAATGTTATTAAGAAAATAAAAGATTCAATAATCAAATAAAATACAAATTCTGAAGTAACAAATATTGTATCTCAAGAGAAAAAAATTGTTAAGTTCCTTTAAGTCTTATTATCATTCATTATCATGTGTTTACTGAATCGTTTTACTTTGTCAAAATGACAGATTAATGAATTATATTTCAAGTATAAAAATCTTGAGGAGAAATAGTTTGTATTCTTATAAATCTTGCCTATGGAAATATTACGTTTTGAACATAAAAGTGATATACATATGTTATATCATATGTGGTGTATATATATATATATATATATATACACTTTTCATGCAGTTGTAAATACATCTTGAATAAATGTTAAAAATTATTTTTTACCAGATATACTTGCGAAAGATATATCCCCGAAAGTTAAGAGATACCATTGATGATATCATAATGGTACAAATTCTTAAATAACTTACCATATAAATTGTTTATACAACTGCCAAAATGTTACTAATTGTAACTAGTACTTACTGGTTTCATTCAGCATCAGACTATTCTGAGTAAGCATTGTCAATATATTGAATGTATTCTATTTAATAAAGTACATTCATTTGCTGCATCTATAATATTAACTAAACATAAAATCTTTTTAAATTTGTTTCTGTGACTTTCATGTAATAGAAAAACCTAAATTATATATATACTTGTTTTATGTATTTTAAAAATCATTTTACCGCACTAATTAGGTTCTCTTTAATGTAATTCGATTGTTTATAGTTTTCTTTGACAATTACAATTTGATAACTAAAAGAAAGTCTTTAGATAATATAATAACGCAAGATATTTTATTTTTGAGTAATCTAATTGGTTTAAATCACATCAGATATAAAATCTTAAAAATGTAAATAAGTTTAATAAGGGTATCATTTATTTTTATTACACACATATAAATTCATATTAATCGGCCATTTACTAAACAAATTTGATAAGAATTATATCGTTATACGTTTATTAATAATGATGAAGTATACTGTTCAACCAATCAATAATTACGAGAAAAAAAAATATCTTACGTTAATATTTCGTAAAGGTGATGCCATTCATACAGTTCTACTTTTTATTTGAGTTACTTAAATTGGAAAACTTAAACGCTTTCAGTAGGACTTTGAAACTCTGAAAGAGCATGTATTGGATTTTGCACCTTTTTCTGCGAACCTTTACGTACTTTTGCTCTTACTTCTTCTGGTCTTTCAGGGCGAACAAGCGGTTTCTTTTCTGGTGCTTTCATTTTCCATACTACTATGGGAGACTGTTAGAAAATTTTACACGAATGTTAATATTCTAAATCTTATCTATTAAGGAAAAAAAGTTGTAAAACTTTAAAAGTAGCACTTACTGTAACGGTAGATTGTCGTGGATATTTCGTCGATGCTACATACGAAGCCTTTACAGTAAGCACAACTGCATTCATCAAATTTTTAGCAGCTTGGATAAGTGAAGTTGCGCTATCAAGTCCTGATACGATTAACTCACCACTGATATTTTGTACATCAGCTTTAACTTTACTTGTAATATTCATTTGATGACAATAAAGAGCTATGCGATGTAAATATGCTATTAAATCCTTTTTAGTCGAACTTTCAGGGCACTGATCTGCTATTTGTCTTGTCAATTTGTCTAACTTAGTACCAGCTTCTGATATCTTTTTAGCAGCATTAATAACGTCCATTGTCGTTTTTAGAGGACCACGACCACGAGTAAAATCTGTCATTTCCATCATGATCATACACATATGTTTTGCAAGAACTATGATGTCGTTTCCAGCATCATCCCATTTTGCAACTTCTTTGTCAAACTTGAGCTTTTCACTCTTAAAATATTCTACTTGTTGTAAAATCTTTTGTTTATCTTCTTCAGGCATTTTACGCATAGCTTCACGGGCCGTGGTTATGCCACTAATTTCTGGATATTCATCAACTCCATGCTCACCAGTTTGAGCGCTTGATTTGCTACGAGTTTCTAATGTATAATGTTCGTCTAATTCTACATCTTCTGGATCTAAATCTTCATCCGCCTAAAATATAAGAAATGTTAATGAGGAATCTCTAAAATTCAAATAATGAAAGCAGATTAAAGACTTCTTACTCTATTCATTAATACAGCACGTCTGATTTCACGGACTCCATCATATACTAATCTAGATGCATCTATAAAATCATTCTCATCCACATCTTTTGCAGGATTACTACCTAAAGCATCTACTGCAACTTCTACCCTTTGTGCAAATTTTGGCATTACTTGCTCTCTTAAAACTTTCACTGCTTCTAAGACTCTCTTAGTATAAATACATGGTTCATAGTTGTCCATTTCTGCTTGAACAACGTTACAAACTCTAGCAGAACGTCCTCTGATTGCTCCTGCTGTTCTATCTAAAGTATCAGCATCTCCTTCTTGTAAAGCCAGTACACATTTATTTACATCTTCAAGAATATGATTTTCAGATACTGCCAAGAAATCATCAATGGTTGTTATATCATCAACAGCCTCTGTAAGTACTCTCACTTGATTTTCCCATGCTTGACGAAAAACTTCCATGTTATCAAGCGCTACTTTTGATCGATTACGAGCAGCCAAAACACGAGCTGCATTTATAACTTGTGGACACAAATTTTCAATTTGTGCTGCTGCATATCTTACCATTTTTACACCATCTTCATTACCTGACATGCTGCATACTAAATTAGCAACCTAAAATTGTAAAAATACACATATGACTGTAAACGTTACAAGCAAATATTACTGACAATTATATATTATTCATTATAAAATTCTAATGATTACCTCAACTAATTTATTTGCATGTTCAGTAAATACTAATGCATATTCTTCAACTTCTTTATCTCTACCATTTCTTGCAGCTTCAATAAGGACCAATAAAGGTACACTTGTTTCCAAGAAACTATCAGAAACATGATCTACAACAGCTTTTCGTAATTGTCTGCGAAGATCACGTGTTTTTCTGCACATATGATCTATTGCTCTTTCTAGACCTTCTGTTTGTTCCTTAACACCCATCTGTCAGAATATTCGTGAGAATGTACTACAATATAAATTTATATATCAAATTATATTTCTAAGAATTATATGAATACTATGTGCTATACAGCTTTTGTGAACCTTCCGAAAAAACTATGTACAAGATATAATAATATACACATAGCAATGTTATATTAATATCTTTTTTTTTATATAATTTGTACACTGAAGAATTAAAGTTATTCTTGATTAGAGGTATTTTTTCTATTAAATATATAAGTTAAGTAACAAACTGTAATTAGTATAGTTAGCTATTAATTAATACATAAAATTGATATTATATAGTAACGAATAGATTATAATTATCACTTATTTGTATAATTTTATAAAATAAATTTATATATGAGAATATATTTCTTTTAGATAAATAATTTGATAATTAATGGAGGTAGATAAATGTTATTTAAAAAAAATTACAAATTATTTGTAAATATAAATAAATTTAAGGACAAAAATACTTTTAATAAACCAAATTAGAATACATTCTTAATTTCTTTCCCTGTTTAAAAAGGTTAATAATTTTATATGTTTATAATTACAAATTGTTATTTCTAAATACAAAGATAGAGAACAAACTACAGTACTTGTGAGCTACAATTCTCTATATACCTACAATTATTAATTTAAATTACAATTGTAAATTAAATTATATATTGTGTCATACGTAATTGATAACCTGCTATGGCTATAAAGTTATTAATTTCCAATGTATAAAATTGTGCAGAAAATTAAACATAAAAAGAATATATATATATAAGTACGCGGTTATTAAAAAATTATTTAGTGCTTGTTAGATAAATAAAATGCAAAAATAATGCATGATGCTAGTACTTTATAAAGACAAAAGTTTCAAAAACCAATGAAATAGTGTATATTACAAATGATATGCAACAGGAGTGCAAGATATTTGTAACGATGTTTTGTATATTTACCCGTTTCCCACCCCGTGCGAGCTGTAACTGCCACCACCAGTAGAAATAAATAAATCAATAAAATGAATGTAACATGAATTATATAAATCAATGCAATAAAGTAGTCTAAAATTTACAATTTCGTTGACATAACACATAAGACTGTAGAAACATCATAAAAAACATAATAATAATTTTTGCAAAAAGGGATATATAGAAAAAATAATTTACTTACGTTATTCATATATTCACTTAATAAATCTTGAAGTGCTTGCCTAACTGCATTACATTCGGCAACAATACGTTCCCTACGTTCATCTCGAGTACATGAAGAATCAGCCATTAATGCTGCACCACTAATGATACTTTCTAATCTTTCTTCAAGACTAGGTCTTGTGCGTACTTCATTATATGCAAGTGGAGACATCACCATTCTTTCATCAAAATCATCTAAAGCAGCTGCTAATTCTCCTGGTCCATCATAAGGATGTTGGCTATCAGTTGGAGTCTTTCCTTGTGCCACATCATTAATTGTATTCACAGCTTCACAAACTTGTTTTAATACATAATCACGATTGGCTTTAGCTGCAGCTAATTCTGGATGTCGCACAAAAACCTTGGAAGCAGTTAGAAGCATAGTAGAATGTTTTTTAAGAACAGCCCTAGCTGCCGCTAAATCATCTCTTAATTGAGGATCTTTAAGTTCTTGCTGACGTTTAGCTGCCTGATTCATAAGCTCTGATGCATTTCTTCCAAATTGCCTAATGTTTTCTAATAATTCACCTTGTGAAGAAGCATTTTTTAATTTTTTTAAATCATCTTCAACAACATGCAGTGACTTTAACAAAAGATGCACGTCTACCATATCTGCTAGGATTAATAAACGTGTAACAGCTGATAAAAGATTTCTAGCCGCTCGAACCATATTACCACGTTTAAGAGAGGAACAAGGATCCTCTGAGAATTCTCTAAAAAATATTTATTATATCAGAGATATTTATTATGAACATGAAGAATAAATAAAATAATAAATCATACCTAGCAGCAATGCTCATTGCATCACCTGTTTTCCTGACTTCTTCTACTGCACTCAACATTTCTGCAGTAATGTCAGGATTTTCATATGCAATTTGTTCTCCTTTTTCAATAAAATTAGCAGTTGCTTTTTCAACTGTTCCAACTAAAGCACTAGCCCTTTTAGATTTTCCTTTCTTTTTCTTACTAGGTCCCTTTGTGTTTACTAATGTAGTTACTTGCAACACTAATGGCTCCAAAGTTTTTTCTACAGACATAGTGCGTATTTCCAAATTTTTGGGATCCCATTTTAAAGTTATTGGTCCAAAATGGTCAGACATTGTTACGTTTGCAATATTATCCTACAATAAAAAATGATAGATGTAAGCATTCAAAAATTGTTTGCATATAAAATAATAATTTTTTAATTTCTTTATCAAAAATAATAAACTGATACTACAAATTTAATCAGACAGCACAGATATCAATAATGTCTGATATTAAAAAATAATATAATACAAAAATAATGTAAAACTTCTGACTCTAGAGAGAGGCTAATTAATAGTCACATATACGAAACAAATATTTTTAAATACTAACAAACAAATTAGTATACGAAGTATCTAATATTTTATTCATTTGTATCTTTAATTATAATCCTTATTTTAAATAATAAACGAAAAAATATTTTAACAGCGTAAGATAAAAGAATGACTAATAATATAAAGTATATTAGAGATACAATGTATACATATTAAATTACTTTCATTATAAAAAAAAGGAACTAAAGCTCAGTCTGTAAAGTTGATAATCAGTACAATGAATATATCATGGAAGACATTCTTACCTTCATGAAAAAAGCAGTTATGTATCACTCTCAGAAATATTAATTAATTAACGTTTTCACTGAACGTATTTCTTACTAATCCAACAAAATTAAATATTGGAACAGCACACAGTACTGATAGATGCATCATTCGTTTGTCATCTAATTTTCGCTTATGACGTCATTACTTCCGGCGTAGTTAAAAAGTTCCCCATAACTGAAGGAGCCGGTCTACGCCCGAAAGGAATATTCTGATTGGACAGTGACTATTGCGTTACCTCATTTACGCGCATGCGCAACAATAATACTAATGTTATAATATGGTTAAATTTATAATTATATATTTCATTAGATGATAAAATTTAATGAAATAAGCCTAAAATATTATTTATTTATATTCTATTTTAAACAATGATCATAGTGGTGTAAAATGTTATATGATATATATTATGAAATAAAATTCGATAACAGATTTACTTTTGTGATTTATAGTATCAAATAAATGCATCTAATTAAACGATTAAAATGAGATACGACATATTAGATTTGTATAATTTCATTTTTGAATAGATTCCTTTTATCTTTGTTAAATATAACTTCTTATTAGTTACACCAAATTTAGACTTGGACGAATCAGTTTTGAGAATCAGAGCTACTTCGCGCGATGGAAATGGACGAGTAATATGCTGATGTAGATACTCCTGCTGCCTATTCTGAATGCGCACAGTCAAAAAATTGAAATAACCTTACACATATGTTAATACATTATAATATTTAGAAAAAAAAAAAAAAAAAAAAAAAAAAAAAAATTGTGAATTTACAATATGAGCACACTTAATAAGAAATTTTTCATTCTCCGAGATTTCACATAAATATAATAGAAAAATAGAATATTTATTATATACGGTAAACACTTGTAACCAATTAAAATTAAATAAATTAATTTTCATTTGAGTATGACAGATGATGAATTAGAGTCCAATGAAAAAAATATAAAGGTTTTTGTGAGAATTTTACCACTTGAAAAGATATGTGAAACGTGCGCAAAAATTGATACTGAACATAAGGTAGTTGATTAGATCTTTGTAATGTTCACGCTATTATATTTATTTACAAGTCAATTTTTCAATATATCGAATCATACTTAGACAATATGCATAAGATGTTTACAAGATTTGTATATGAGGAGATCTGCTATAAACAATCATATTTATTGGTGCTTTCAAACAGATGGAATTTTTTATAATGCATCTCAAGAAGAAGTTTATTATGCTGCAACGAAAAATCTTATAGAGAAGTACTAAGTACATGCTTAAAATGCATTAATAAATTAATTAACATTTAAAGTAAAATAATTTAAGGGTTTTAGATGGTGTAAACTGTATAATATATAGTTATGGCCAAATTGGCTCTGGAAAAAGTTTTACGATTGGTGGTTTCAGAAATAACTGGGAAGTACGATTTTTAAACATTGATACGTTAAAATTGAAAATTGTATTATATATGAACAATAAATGTAGTAGTTAAATTCATTTTCTCAGCACAGAGGATTGGTTATGCGGCTTCTGTCTGATATGTTTGTAGAAAAAGCAAAACGAAGGAAATTTAATAAGATACAGTATCAGTTAAGTTTTGTTGAATTACGGGGTAAGGAAGTAAAAGATCTTTTACTTGCTAAAACAGAAAACAGAATTAAAATAAATAATACAGATGCATTTAAGGTATCTAAATTAATAATTTATTTCAATTTTTTATTGTTCTTTTTTCAATATTAATTTTATAAACAATATGTATGTTGGTAGTATAAATACTTAATTTTCATTAGTTAACTCTTAGAGAAATACATTATTATAGAATGTAACAATAATAAATATAAAGAATCAAGAGATAGCATTGAAGAAACTTTTTGAGGGAGAGACTAGAAGATCTATGATTACTGGCTCTATGTATCCAGTTTCCCATTTGGGTACTGCAGTAATAACTTTTCATGTTTCGAGTACGAGTTTAATCACCTCGTGGGCCGTTGTGGCGACAGCCAAAGTAGATTAAAGAAATTATTTTTTATATTCATAGGTTCTATAATTCTTCATGAATTTCAATAATTTTTAAATAGATCATTTTTACATTACGATAGATACATATTGTAGAAATGGCAGGAACAGGAACAGTAGGAAAACGGAATTGCATGAAGTCGCCGATCGACGTGGGTACAGCGAATTTAGGTCAAACTCAAGTCGAACAATTTTTCTTATATTTGAGAGGCTTTGAAATATCTACAAAGTGTATATTACGTTCTAATAATCTTTTCAAGTTTTTGGGTCAAGCTCTTTCCGTTACGTCGATGCTTCGGTAATATAATGACATTGTAATTTATTTATTTCAAAGAATTTTTTTCATTTCATCATAAATTATTCATATTTTTTAAAAATCTTTTATTTTTTTTTTGCTACAGCTCATAATGTTCCATTTCCAATTATTATTATTTTTTAGATTTATTGCACACGTATGCATTACGAAAGAAGATTTAGATTCGACATTGTCTACTTTGCGATTTGCTTCTACAGTTTCGAAATTACGGCCGGTTAAAATTACATACAACATTAGACCACAGACTGAAACAATCATATTGGAACTTAAAAAAGAGATTAAAATTTTGAAAAGAGAATTGGAATTAAATGAAATATTTTTTAATCAGGAAACAACAATGAATATATCAAAATTAAGATACGAACAAATACATCGCGATGTATTGAATTTTTTAAATGGTACATTATCAGATCTGACGTTATATAGTGTTTCGCAGATGGAAATATTATTAAAAATTATTAAAAATTTATATCACGAGTTGGTATATTTTATTTTCGTTCGTCAAAATTAAATCTTATTATATTTTTTTAATTTTGTATTTTATTAATTAAAATACAGATTGACTTTGAAACAAGCCGAGATTGATAACGCTTTGAAAAATATAAATCAAATAACTTCTTCAATGAATTTATCGGAATCTAATAATAAGGTATTTTGCTAATAGAATTTTCTCGATATTAGAATTTTTTGTTTATATTTATACAAATAAATTATATAATTCGTTAATAGATCGTTTTACCACCCAAGAATAACTCAATTACGAATAAAACTCAAAATACTGGACCAAATTTTTCACAAATAAGTAACAATATTTTTCAAAGTCCAGAAACGGAGCAAGTTGGTGTATTAAATGATACAGGTGAACATATAGAATGGAAAATAGTATAAGTTTTCTATTTTGTAATATCCGTTGAAATTGGATTAATGATTAATATAAATTTTATTAGGTATCACATTAGGAAATTTTAATAAAGAAGAATTTGAAAAAATACGTAAACATGAAAAATCTTCAAAAGTAAATTCGCTAAATTTCAACGTAATAGAAATACGTGGTTCGACTTAATAATTATGTATGAATACTTTTTATTACGTGAGTAAAACAATTTTATGAATTTATTTAAAGGTCCATGAACAATGCAAAGAAAATAATGAACTTTCGGTTCACTCTATCGATGGAGAGAAAGCCGTAGAAGATTTGAAAGATAAATTCTATCAGTTACAAAATATGATGCTACGTATTATCGAGGTAAAAACGTGAAAAAATGTTGATTACTTTTTTATATTTTTGTAGTTCGGATATCCTAAATATTCTATCTCTTTCTTTAGACTAAACATCAACCGAAGAAGTCTATGATAGCGCGGAAAATATGTAAAAATTGAAGAGTGTTCAGTGATATTAAGTAATGTAATAAGATAATTTAATGAATAATAGACGATACGTATAATGCAATATAAGTTTATATTAATCTAGATCAAATGGAGACTCATGAGATGTTGATAAAACTTGGAATAAAAAAGCTTTTTTAAATTGATATTTTAATCTTACTCAACATATGACGTATGAATTAATCATACTTTAAAAGTATAAAATTTTATACATTACCATTTTTATATATCACTATTTATCTACTAAATAAATTATTTTTCCTTTTTTTATTCTCCTTGAAAATAAAGAATGTCTCTTGCTGGAGGGTTCGCAAAAGGAAACTCACTTTAGTGTCATAATAAACTCTTTTCTATTTAAAGTTCCGACAGAGTTCCGTCAACGCATCGAAATCTGGATCAGCACCCTACCTGTCCAATGCAGAAGGCTCGGAGTATTGATCACTCTCTAGGAGGAAGCTACGTTGGGGAGGTGAATAGTGAGTACGTATTGGAGACGAGAGAAACGTAAAGAGATTTCGGTAATTTCCTTTTTTCTTTTTCTAAAATTTTGAAGATATGGATAATCGACAAATTAAGTCAAAGTATGCAAAAATGAAGAGAATTAAAATTCATGCTTTTTTATTTTTCATCAATTAAAAATCACAGAAATATTAAGATAATATATAGAATATTTTATTTATTACATAGACATTTCATATATCTTCATTGTTTTGGAAAATAGATAAAAATATGGTTTTGAAAAACTGATTTTTTTCTCTCTCATTTTAATTCAACATTTGAATCATGTAATTTTACATTGCAATATTTTTATCTATTTTCAAAAACAACAAAAGTATTTGGGATGTACCTATTAAATGAGAAATTTTGCATATAATAAAATTAGAAATATATATCACACTTTGATTATTAATTGCAGTTTTAAGTAATTATAAATTATATAAAATTTGTTGAAATTTTTTATTAGTTAGCCTACATAAAAAGAAGAAGGTTTTTTTTTATTGTGATTAAGGACGATAATCGACCTAAGGGAGTTGTCGTGATGGTTCTGGATGAAGAGAAACGAATAGAACTTGAAGAAGAAGAGATTGAGGAGGAGAGAAGGAAGCAGAAAGGGAGTAGGAGGGAGAAGAGAGTATAAACTATGGAGGGTTGGTGAATCTGTATACCAAGCCGATAGAACCGAGAGGAGAGTAATGGTGTTGGTATATAAGGCACGAGCAGCCAACGTCTGCTTCTGACAGCCCATTACCACTGTACAAACGCGAGTGCGGTGCTTTGGTAGGATTGCGATGGCGCTTGTGCCTCGACCCTCTCTCGCATTCGTTCCCTCTCTTTCTCTAAAGAGACAGAAAGAGAAAGAGAGAGAGGAGAGAGAGAAAGAGAGAGAGAGAGAGAGAGAGAGAGAGAGAGAGAGAGAGAGAGAGAGAAAGCTAGTACTCTTTTACTCCCTCGTAAAGGAGGATATCAAAGTAAAGTTAAAGTTATTATATTATTCTTTGTTTATCAACTTGTAAATAAGATCAAGCATTAAAAGCAACTTAGAGAGAGAGACAGAGATCTTCGTTAGATTGTATCAACTTAACTTTTTTAAATACTTAAGATTTTATCAAATAAGATTAAAAGATTTCTTGATATTATTTTGAGTAAGTATCACTTATGAAACTTGAGAATTTTTCTATTAAATTATGTACTTTGTTTTTACATTATAATCTTTGAAAAAGATTTATTGAACTAATAATTTTTTTCTTCTATTTCAAGCAAGCAGACATTCGTCTATACCCAAAAGTAAATGATCTATTTATATTAAAACATAAAATGTTTTATGAAGGGATTGATTTTAAAGACATCTATTGTCTTTCTTAGGACATAAAGTTATCCAAGTAGTACTGAGTTCATGTGAAATTACTTGACGGTGTATCCTTGGTTGCCTTACTGGTAGGAAAGACTTCTCTTTCCAGAGATTTAGTTTGGAGCCACGCCTGCCATCCCCCATGAAAGCAGTTTCGTAAGCCACGCCTACAATGTGAACCTCTATTCGACTCTTCTCTCCCCGTTTCTGCTGCCGCCCACTAACCCGGAGGCAGTAACGGGAGAGGAAGAGGGAGAAAGAGAGAATGCTAAAATAAGAGAAAGAGAAAGAGAGAGGGAGGGAGGGAGGGTGAAAGAGAGAGAGAGAGAGAGAGGAAGCCCAAGGGCTAATAATTCATGTCACGAGCACACCCCACCATAAAGAGTCAACTACAGGCACCTCGAGCGTATTCCATATCAGCGACCACTCTGCCGCATAACGTTATTCAGTTGCAGTTACTGTTAATTACCGATCACCTTTTATAATTTATTGCTACACCTCGAACCGAGCTAGCTGTAATGACGCCAGAAACGTTGGAAAATTCGCAATGCCGTTATCGAACGACTGATCACCGACAATTATGTAACACCAAAAGGATTGATTCGACTTTGTATCGTATTACCGTAGAGAATGTTCTAACCGTTTAGGTTGAATTATTCGATCTTTTTTACAATGGTTCTCCTTATTTTTCTGATTTAATAGAATTACATTACTATTATCTAAATTGTTTGAATGCGTGTATACTTTCATATTGTAGCGACAAATTTTTTTAGCATTTGGAATTTACTAAAAAATAAATTAATGCAATACCGAATGATTTGTATGATAAAGTTTCTATTAGAAATTAAAAGTAAACTGAAGCATCGCGTAAGTTTATCTTCAATATTTATATGATTCAATATCTTTAATTCTAAACGTTCTCACATGTAATAGTTCATCGAATGATGTTTATCTTTTGATATGTACAAAATTATAGGAATTGACGGAACTGTATTATATGTATAATCATCGTAATCGTGTGAAGGGATCAAACGAGTAGTACGTATCCAAGATCGAAATGGCGATTAGCGGGTTGTTAAATTAGTTGCGAGGTTCTACGACTTTCTCGATGATTCCTAGTTGACCCCTAAAATTAGCCACAGTGACATATTGAAGAGCATGCGACGAAAGAAAAAGAGAGAAAGAGAGTATGTACTTTGTAAAGGCCTCCCTCTCTTCCACCAGTGCTTCCCCTATTATTTAGATACAAAAGAGATGCCCTGGGAAAATCAAGTGACGCGTAACTAAATGCTGTATCATTAATTCCGACATGTATGTTTATATCGTTTCTCGGTTAAAGAGGGATATACAAGTACGTACATATATATATATATATATATATATATATGTATATATGAATATGTATATGTATATATGAATATGTATATGTATATATGAATGTACGCAGTAAGGCCAATTTTCCTTGACAGAAAGCTCTTGCCTACACGTAACACGTTTCTCCTCCTTTTTTGGCGACACTTATAGCGTCCTCGATACCTTTACTACTGCCAATCAGACTGCGATTTGCCGACAAAAGAATGTTCTGTCGATGCTTCGGTAAACCTGGAAATCGACACGAACGTCCAATAAATTCGATAACTCTCTTTTTCTCTATCTTCCTTTTTCTATGAGTGGTGAACTGCGAACATGTTGTTTTTGCAAGATCAAAAGATTTAATATGCTTTCAGAAATAATTTCTAACGAAATAGTAATATGAAATTATATAATTATTATAATTGATTCAAATTAAAATCATTTTATATTTAATTATGAATATTATGAATATTAAGTTTGATAAGATAATAAACAGCATTATTATAGTAACAGTATAATGTGAAACTCATAGGAAACAGTATAGTATAAAACTATAATTACAATTATTGCAAATTGAAATAATTTTATGAATGTTATAATTTTTAAGTTAAAGAGATAATAAACAGCATTATCATGGGAGCAATATAGTCTGAAACTATAAAAATAACTTCATATTTAATTATGAATGTTAGAACTTTAAATTTGATAATGAGATAATCAGCAATATTCTCCAATCATGATCAAGATATAAACAAAAGAATGTGCAGCTACCTATAAAAAATTATTATTATGTCATAATTAATAAAATTGTATTTATTATTATTTTTTTTATCAAATTAGACAAAGAGTAGAAATACTTTTTGCACTGATGGACGGTACCTAAGACCGCTCAGCGGTGGTCTTTGCCTCGCAAACAGGCTTTCGGGTAGCAAGCCTATTTGGTACACGTGTCCTTGGACGTTGAATCGCGGTGATCCACCCATTCGTCGGGAAAGAGAAAAGAGATCGAGGATCGCGACAAAGAGGGATCCACGGCACGTTTTGCCACGTGACCAACGATGCCGGCTAGTTCACGTAAGTGCCAGAAAGTATAAGGGTGTACAAAGCCAACTACAGCTTTCTTTTTTTTCTCTTTCTATCTATCTCTTGGTTTTTCAATTGGCCGCAATTTAGTATCGCGTCGTTGCACGCGATTGCTTTCATGTCAACAGCATTACTTTGCATATTTTATTCGAATTTTTCTATCGTTTCTTTTACTGAGAATTTTTTCAAAAAAAAAAAAGATCTATTAGTATAGAATTAACACTTTCATTGTTTATAGCTTCATTGGCTAAACTCTGCTCAAAATTTAAATTAGAAATATATAAGGCATAACTTTTCAAATAAAAATTATTCCAATCTGTATGTATGCCATCGGATCTATGTAAATCAATTACTCATTGTCCAATAGTATATATGTAGAGAAGAAAGATTTTTTTTTTAAATTATATATACAAATTATATATAGTATATAAAAATTATGAAATGCTGATTATGATCTAATTCGTTATCTTTACTGTTCCAGAGTTTCATCTGAATAACGGATAATAGAAATATATTTTTCAAATAGAAAATTCGATGAATCCAATAATCAAGAAACTACCTCGATGAAAGCTAACGAAAGCTAACAATGAACGATATACAGGATCATTATGCATTGCGGTTGGTACATTTACTTTTCCCAACCGCGACCTATCCGCAAATCAAAGAAACATGCTTCTCCACGTCCGAGTGTAACTTCGTCGTAAGCATATTTGAGCAATAAATAATTTAGCAAACAAATTGATCCCTCGGGACTATAAACAGATACTTAGAGGCACGCGCTAGTTCGATGAAACGAGAATGGAAATGTCTGGACCATGGTGGTATTAGAGAACAGTCGAGACTTATTCGCGGTTTGGAAGACAATAGTTTAGCTGTAAAGTTTGGTAGACCCCTACTGTGAGAACCGAAGTGGGGCCTGCGGCGTGAAATCTCTATTATAGGGGAGGGGAGTCTTTCGAATCCTAGTACCCTCTCTTCTTGTGCGTGTGCATACACTCCTTAGATACGCGCGTGCTTCTGTCTGGTTATGTGTTAGTCTACCTACGTTTGCTAGGACTGTTGCTGACAAGGGGTCCGCCTGGTTCTAGCCCCCTTCAAAATATTGTAATCGCGAATTAAATGTTTGCTCAAATCGTCACACCGTATTATTCCTGATAAATCCGGGAATCCAATAATTCGTATCTTTCTAATTTTTTAAAAAATATAAAAGTAGTGTAACAGTTAGTACATTGACAACATATATATTTGTCTTTTAGACTATATTTTTTAATAAATTATAATATTACTAATTGTATTTTTTTTTACTATGCCTTTTCATTCTTCCTCCTCGTCATATCAATCTTTATCGAAGCGATTGACCTCGTTTAAAAAATCACGGCTTATGAGAGTGACAGAGTTCAGGGATGTTGGATCGAAAGATAAAAAAGGTATCGCGAATATTGAAACGCTGAATCCCGGACTCTCAACGGTTTCCCCTCGATCGTGACAAATTGAGATAAATAATCGTTTGTGGGGACACAATACTCGTTTGAAATTTGTCATGGCGATACTCGAAACGCCACGCTTCGAGTATTCACAGACGAATACTCGAGTGGATGCTTCAGTTACATCTGGCTATGATCCGAGAGCAACAGTATCGGTTATCGTTGTTTTTGATTTTTCATTTCTACCGCATAGATTTTCCATTTGTCATTTCTGATAGTTGCGTTGAAGATCTATCAGTTATTAAAAAAAAAAAAAAAAAAAAAAGAAAGAAAAAAAAGAAAGAAAAAAAAGAATTAGAAAAAAGATTAGAAAGATAAAAAATTGTCGAGTTAGTGAATTCATCAATTTCTCAATTTGATAATAATGAATAGATCAATCGCTTGGTGACATGATAATATCGAAATATGTAAATGAAGTATATAAAAGAAGAAAACGAAATCAGAAGGGTATATAAGAACGACAGAGTTCTCATGCACTCGAAGGATAATCCCAATTATATCGTACATTGATCGTTTATCCTGACAATACTAGTCCTTCCTTCTCTCCCACTCAATTTACTCCAGTTTCTATTACGAGAGAAAGAGGGAGAGAGAAAGACTCCTTTTTCACTTATCGAATGGACTAAACTTTATCAAGCGCTACCCGCAATCCCACCGAATCACTATTGTCGTCGCATTAACACCTTGCATAATTGCACCAACTCACCAACGTCGTCGTTCTCCATTGTGCGTCAGCTAAACATACCTCATTTGAATATTGGCCTATTCATATAGCTAGGAAGACTAATTTTCGCACCCTTTAACAGGGAGAGCATCGGTGTTCTTGCTTGTTCTCCCTTTCTGTCTGTTAGTTCCGATTTTGATGAATTTTCTATCTCACAGATTGTCACATCGTTAAAGATGTAGATCGATTTATATAACTTTAATTTTATATCGATCAGATTTATGGTAGAATTTTTTGAGATATGATATTTATCAAGATTAAAATAGAAAAAGATGAAAATCAGAAATAATAGTAAAAGCTGTCAAATATTTCGCATTAATGGAAAAGAAAAAATATTTTAAACAATCTCGTTCATTCATTCTTCATTAAATAAAAAAATAATTCTCGATGGTATAATTCTTCGTCATATATCCTCCAACTTTTCTCTCGCCTCATTCTGCTCGGGGTTTATCATGGAACTGGAATCGTATATGTATGTGTGTCTGTAAAAGAAAGAGAGGGTGAAAAAAGAAGTTAAAATAAAATTTCGACGGCAGTAACAATGAACCGCAGGTACGCTCGGTAGACAAACGTTCGCTATTAAGCCTTGACCAATTGGAAAAGATCGTGATAATCATTTTGGAGAAGAACGAAGCTGATTGGACGAAGTCCACGCCCAGGGGTTGGTATCGATCATCCCCCAACAGGGGGATTTCTTATATAAACCAGTCTCCCTAGGGACACAGACGATAGTCGAAATTCATCCGATGTTCGAAAATGAATTAATTCGCGAGTGATCTTTTAAAAAAGTGATCTTTAGAATGATCTTTTGAAACATCTTTTGAAAAAGATCGATAATTTAACAAAATTATCCGAGAGTGGTTAAAAAAGAGTCAAAGTGTTACTTTGATTCGAAAATCGAGTTTCTTGATTCCTAAAGTGCAATAAAAAAAAAGATTACGAAGAAAGAAATTTCTTCGTAAAAAAATTCATTGAACTATTCATCTAAGAAATTTTGAAACGCGAAGATCGTTCTCTCGTGGAGATCGAAGAGTTTTGTAAGAAGAAGAAGGAACAACGAATGCTTTCGTGAGATCGAGTCAAAGAAGTAAGAAAAAGTATGACGAGCCATCCAGGATACGATTACGAGGACAGAGGCCAGAGAATTCGCCATCGTGTCGGTACTGCTTCGAGACCAGCCGATTCTACCGTCGCTTGTACCAGGTTGCTTATACTTTTTTTCCCTTTTTAATCTCTCTCTTTCTTTATCTTCATCATTCTCATTTATCATTCTATATTTAATATTCTACTTCCTTTGAGATACGCGCTAATAATTACTATTAATTTTAATGATAACGATGATAATGATGACGATGATGAACACGCGATTATTTTTTCAGTTCTCAATATTACGTCGGTCCGAATAGTGACATCAGTGAAGAGGATATTGCGGAATTACCTTCTTGCGTTTATGCGAGTAGATCCTCCCAACACGTTGCACATGCTTCTTCGCACACGCATTCACCATTGCACTATCATATGCCAGTTGCTACTCCAGGTAGTAGTGGATTCTTAATTTGACTTTTTGTTTTTATATTTATTAATTTTTCTCAATTCTAACAAACGGATAGAAATTATTATTCGTTTCACTTCCCCTTCATTTTTTCCATAATCTCATTAGATATTATTTTTTTTTTATTCACTTTCATCTATAGATCACAATGATGCTGATATGAACGGAGTGGAAGAAGGTTATTATCCAAATGGCAGTCCATATAGAATTCAACGACATGCCGCGAATATACGCGAAAGAAAACGTATGCTGAGGTGAGAAATTACTCTTGATAGAGATTTTTTTTCTTTTTCTATAGAAATTTAAAGTATGAATTGTGTTAAATATTAAAATATGAGAACAGTTAATTGCCGTCGGTTAAATGTCGGATGAATTATTCAAAGTCAATTAAAGATCACATGAGAATTACTATTTCTGTCTAGTTTATTTCAGCTCGCTGATCTATATCAAATTAATTTTTAATTGCTTATCAGTCAATTCCTAATATCAATTACGCGTTCGAGTGGGTCGCAGAAAATTATCGTTATCGAAAGTGAGTCTCGGACCATTAAAGTTTAGGGAATCCTAATTGGATTAGATCACCTCCGTAATGGCGCGAGTTAAGTGCATCCGTGTTTTGTAATCATTTTGTAAGTGTATTAAATGTATTAAAACCGTACGTATTTGTTTTGTTTCTTTTTTTTTCCGTGAAATTAAAATAGTTATATATCTATGCCCTATTAGCAATAAATAGATTGTCAGTGTGATTGCGATTTTTAGCAGCATCAACTCGGCTTTCGACGAGCTTAGGGTTCATGTACCAACATTCCCGTATGAGAAGAGACTTTCAAAAATTGATACTCTTCGTTTAGCAATAGCTTATATTGCTCTTCTTCGAGAAGTATTAGCAGCGAGACTCGATCCTTTGACTTATGTTGAGAGGTGCCTTAGAGGTGAAATTAATGGTGAACGTGCTGAATGGAACACCAGTGGTAAGTCTATAAAATGTATTTTTTATTTTCTGTAACATTTGCTTATTCAACAAATGATAATTAAAAGCAAATTCAATTATTTATAAATCACAATTAAAAATTAAAAATGTTATAAAATTTTTCTAGAGAATGACAAGAATGCTATATAGCGTTGTAACAAAACGAGAATGATTTTAATTACAGATCTGACCGCACGTTTGTCGTGGATTAATTGGGAAAATTTAGGAGTCAATCCTAATCGACGTTCAGTTCTTACAACTCTCGCATTAACTACAGACAATATGAATTAAAAAAAGGCAACTACAAAATTGAAAAAAAAGAAACACAGAGGTCCTGCTTTTCTTCTTTGTAAATACTATTTTGAAGTTCTTAAGCCGAGATAGAGTGCCAAAGACATTTATTCTATTTTAATTTATAATTTATATAACGTGCAATAAGATCAACGTTACTGTACCCATCGTCTCTCCTCGTCATGTATTACATTACATGTGTGTATGGCAGTAATGAATTTAAGAGCATTAACTAGTATATAGTTTAGTATTTTTTGGGGGAAATAAAATTGGTATCCATGAGAGAAAATTATGAGTTTTTCATTTTTAAATTTCCCTCCAATTAAAAGATTATGTATACCTGAAAAAAGGCGCTTATTTTATTTTCTTTTATTGTTTTTGTTTTTGACGATAAGCAAACAAATTTTTTTATGTACAAATAGTTTTAAGATTCTATAGAATTCAATTAAAAATCATTCGAATGTATTTATTAAAAAAAAAAAGATTCCATTTTCAAAGATGGCGCAACGTACTAATAGGAGAAAGAAAATAAAACATTTGAAAGTAGCATGATGCATTTCATCGATCGAAGTTCGTTGACAACGTAGTTGACTTGTTGCAACGTTCTTAACTTCTTGATGGATTATTATTGTGTTTGATCTAAGGAGCCTTGTTTTTTATTATACGAAAATTCTTTTATGACTTGTAATTCATTGAGTGTTCAACTTGTAATTCATTAGTTCAAACGAAATTAACAGGACGAAAATTTATATAAACTAGCAAAAATAATCTTTAGATTTTGATTTTTATAGTAACGTTATACGATCCAAGTGTTTTCGTTTAAATTATTTAACCTGTTCATTTTTTCTTTTATTAAATGGACGGACAAATAAGCTCAATTTTAAGTACAAAAGAAGAGAATATTACGAATGATACAATTGTGAATGATAAATTTGAATATGAGAATGACACGAAGTTAATAAATTTGAAGAAAAAAGATGCCGAAGTTTTTCGAAATTCTAAATTTTTTCGTTGTATACTCGTTGATTCTTCGACGAGCAAGTGTCTAAAGAAGATAGAATGTGATGAAGAAAAGGCTGGAATGATCGTGTCTTTGTGTAAAGCATCGCCAAGAAAAAATGATATAAAAGAGAGAGAAGGAAAATCTGTTGATGAGGGAAAGAAAGAGGAGGGGAATAACAGAAATCGGTATGTCTTAGAACAAAAGGAGGAAAAATCCCAGATGGCGTTGCAGAAAGATTTCATGGCGGTCGCGATGTCATCGGATACTTCGACCAATCATCAATTAGCTTCTAATATAAGCGGCGATTTTAAAAAGGGAAACATGGAGACGTCGACATTTCCTCGCGAAATTATAATTAATCAAGAAAGAAGATCTTGCATAAATGATAATGATGAGAGACGTGATTCGATCGAAACGAATAGTAGCAGTGGAAATAGTTGTAATTCTGGTTTTCTTGTCGAGAAAGTAAAACGAATTAATCGGACGATGAGAAATAGAAAGTGAGTCTTGATTTAAGGGGTTGATTTAAGAGAGGTTTCTCGTTTCTTTTCTTTTTTTTTTTTTTTAATTATATAATTTATCTTTTCATCTCTCATCTCTTTTTAAAGTTTTCGGTTTTAAATATTATTAAGATAAATAACTTTAAGTGATTGACAAAATTTCGTTATCGAGAATCGATTGTATTTTTTTTTAAATAATAGTAAGTCCTTTTATGGGAGAGTAATTAGTATTAGATGAATGAGAAGTATAAAAGAATAATATTAACGTAACTGTTTTTCGTATTCTTTTTATTTTTGGTTTAATTATTTCTCTTTTTGGGTAGCTAGAATTTAAAAAAGATAAAAAAGAATATAAACTTAACTGTTTTTTACATTTTTATATTTTTGTCTGAATTGTCTTTCTCTCCTTTTCTCGAATTTATTTGGAATTATCTTTTAAAATTTGAAAAGAAAATAAAGTAAAAGAACGCGCGCGTGCACACACACACAAAACACATACGTCATTAATCATTTAGCAATGCATTTATAATTTTTCGCAGAGAAGTTGTTCGCTATCGGACAGAGAGCAACATTTAACTAATACTGTTTTTCTTTTTTTTTTTTTTTTTTTTTTTTTACAAAACATACAGATTGTCTCGAATTACTGTGAGACATACGAACATTTTAACAAAACTCCGAACAAAACATAATCGGTAAATGGCGAACGATAGCGATAGATACTGCTGGTTAATCATTTTTAATATCATTATTAATTAAAATCATTCATTGTGAACGTGCGAAAATTTTCGACGAATCGTTTATTTATCGTTTTTTTTTTTTTTTCAAAATGATCCATATATTGATAAATCAAATAATTTGATCTAGGGTCATTTATCGTAATCACGTGTATATCTTTCAAGTTTGAAATTTGAACGGCGCTGAAAAAAAAAAGAAACGTAATTTGATGCTGTAAGTGATAAAAGAAATCATTATTTAACGTAAAACTTACTTTTAGTCGTGGGTCTTTTGAAGTTCGACGGAATCCAATGCGAGTTAGTAAGAAAGACATGGATAAAAATTTTCGACGTCCAAGACAGTGTCTCTTGTCGACCAAAAGGAAAGATCGCTTTGAAAATTCGTTATCTATGATCTCTAATCGAACTAAATCATCACCTACACCGTATATGAACACGAGATCGGTGACTCGTAAAATGTGTAATGTTGGAGCTACTTATCAAGCGCCAACGATAAGAGACGAGACTCAATGGAAGGAATGGCCTGTTCATGGAATGCATGAAAGACCAATTTTTCATCCTCAGGTAAGAAATATTCTCGATTCTTTTTTCTTTTTTTATTTATTTATTTATTTTTTCTTTTTATGTATATTTATATTTATTTATTATGATTTTTTTTCTTTAATAAATTCGTAAATAAAAATAAATATAATAATTATTTCAGGTTGGGCTTGCAGCTGAATATTTGGGACGTTGTTTCGTCAGTTTGGACGGACTTTCTTATCGAGAAATCATTGATCAATCTGAGATAGAAGTGGTCTCGGTAGATCCCCATGGCGAATGGTCATCATCCAGTGAAAAGAAACGAGGTAGAAAGGTGAGATGAATATAATCAAAATGTTAAAGAATAATTAAATTTTCAATATTATCTCGTTTATCTTTCATAGATGATAACTACGGTCTATCGAAAGAATACTGAAGAGAAGAGAAAACGACATCAGCAAGAACGTACTTTTTCTGATACATCGAAAGATAACCAAGAATTTTCAGGAAACTTTCGAAACTGCAGCAGAAAATCATTAGACACGATCACCCACAGTTCAAGAAAATCTGCCGAAGAAGAAAATTTTTTAGAAGGATACGCAATTGCTATGTCTCAAAGCATTCAGAGCTCTGCCAATTTTGTTAAAACTAATTCTTGGTCCGCAACGACACCGACAATGTTCATCACTGAACGACAAAAACCATCTAATAGTTTCTACAATGTTCAAACTTTACACAGCAATCAATTGAAATTTGCCAATATACTTCCTAGACCATCACCAAAGAGTTCCTTAATATTTGTAAGAACTACAGACACTAAAACTTCTAATTGTTACTCGACATCTTCTAATCAAATATTTAAACCATTCTCTAATGAAATCGGTACGACGAAATTGACAGATACTCTAAACGACGAGGCATTGATGGAAATGAATACAATTTATAAAAATCTGATACCAAAAGAAGATTCTTTTTTGAGTTGCGAGAATTCTTCGATCAATGCCAGTAATTTTTGTAAAAAAGGGATGATGAATTATGTTAATAAGCCACAGAATATTGTAATGACGAAGTGCCTTTTTACTGCAAGACAAGAGAAACGAGAAAATATACACGATAGTCAAAATATTAAAACTGTGAGAAAGAATTTGAACGATAGATCCACATTAGAAATAGCGTTGAGAGAAAATAAAGATAAGTCTTCTACGACTAGTAACAACACTATTGAAAATTGGTCTACAAATGAAACATCCGAAATTGCAAAAATTCTTTCAGAATACAATAGAAGTATAGCAAGGAAGTCTACTATGCAGGCAGAAAACTATAATATTCCTTTGAAAACCCAAAAACCAAATATATTACGTAACAGTTCAAAAGATTTGAAAGAGACAATATGGAGCAAAGAGGAAAGAAGAATAAATATTAATTCTAGAGGAGATTTTACAGAAAGAAAAGCTAGTATTAGATTGCCTCATGGAAAATGGAGAAGATTTCACTTTACGGTGGAAAAGATAAAAGATTCGTTGGATGTCACGGATCATACGCAAACCACGTTTATCGAACATCAACAGGCAAAATTAAAAAATAACAGAATTAGCACGAATAGTATCAGTACTACTAATTCTACTCCTCGTCGCGAAAACAGAAGGAAATCTCAGCTTCCTTATAGAAGTTATGAGATGTTGCCTCACGAAGAAACTTCAAATATAGTGAATTCTATAAAAAAGGAATGTACAACGACAAAAATGGAAAATTCTACGAGAACGCAATCTTTGCAAGAATTGTTAGAAAGCACAGCTGTTTTATACTGTACCACAGCTGGTGGTACTCGTCAAGAAGATTTAGCTAATTACGTTGATACGATGGATACTACCGATAAATCTTTGCAATGGTTGGATTCGTGGAATAATCAAATTGTTTAAAAATTTATATTTTTTTCATTAAGTGAATGGTCTTGTTATGGTCATGTTTTTCATTATTTTACGTTTATTATGTTAACTACTATATGTAGGTACTTTTTAGTTATACAATTAAGTTTAATATTGTTTTAGATCCGTTTCAATATCATCCGATCAAACATTTAAAAATACATACATTATACATATGAAATAATAGTTTTTTAGCATATGTCGATGTTAAGTTATCAAGGTTATTAAATAAAAATAAGAGTATTTTTGTATTACATATTTTAAGTATGACGACATAATTCATAAAAAAGTTATTGGTATTACAGAAATATTAATAAATTTTATTGATTTACATTTATTTCGATCGAAATAGAGAAGATTAGAACTTAATGAAGAACTCGACGATTACATGCAAAATATATATGTATGTAATAAATAATGATAATTATTATCTTAGAATGTTTTATTAATAGATTAGAAATATGATTCTTCAAAAAGGCTTACCCAAATATTTTATCTCTAATCATATATTTATCCAAGTCGTTTAATAGACTTTCTTTTCTTGTAAAAACTATGATTGATTAAGGTATAAAATATTCGCTTTTGTTCTTGAGACTAATATCAAACCGTCGTTGATCCCGGTATGTATAATAAGTACAAAAACGATTAAAATTATTGAATAGAGAAAGAACAAAGCAACAATGCCAAGATTTTTTTGTCAGTCCTTGTTTTGTCGTCGTTTACGTTGAACTCGTTTGTTACTGTTTCATTGGAAAAATATATCATTTAATAGAATTAATATTAACAATCATTTTAATCGATTAGAATTGGATGAAGTTACCTTCTTTTTTCAGATTCAGAATCGCTACTCTGGCTAGAAGTTTTATTATCATTGAGATCTTGGGTCGAGAAATCACTTTCAGTTTCACATTTTTCTTTTTTACCAGAACTCTTGCTAGAATCTTCGCTTCTACTTTTCGTTCTACCATCTTCAAATATCCTTCTTTCATGTCTTTCATTAGATTTGTTGGTTTTTCTTTTACGTGTCTCATTATCATTTGAATCTTCACGATTTTTAGATTCGCTTTTACGCGAAGCTTTGTTTCTTCTACTTTCTTGTCTCTGCGATTTTATTTGTTTTGACGAATTGCGAGAACTCGATGTCGAGTAACCAGTATCCTGACGAGTTTTTCTGTAATTATAAAATTTTTTCTAAGTAATCTTATCAAAAGATGGAAATCATGAAGTGAAATGATCGATCGAATAATGGTAGGAAAATATCTTACCGTTTAGGACGAATCGTTTGCTTTGGTGACGAATCAAATTTATCGATTTCTTCGGTAGAATCCTCCGAATCAGATAAATTTTCTTCCACGTCTCTTTCCCGTCTCCTTTTCCTCTTTCTATCATCTTGAGATCTTCTACATCTCGTTTCTTTAGACATATCCGCTCGAGAAATAATACTGATGTTAGGTACTTCGTATTTCTCGTACTTCTCTTTCTTTCGTTTACTATTACTTTCACTGTGAACGACGTATAGTCTGTACAGTTGTAAGAGTATTACCAAAGTGTTCTTACATGTAAAAAATATATTCATGTAACTGACTATTTGATAATGTATTATTAGGATCAACCTAAATGCCAGAAAAGGTCCATCCTGTAAAAATAAAAACAAAATAAAATAGAAAGAAAGATACTGTATGTATTTTTATATTGATTGTGAAAGTGATCCAAGCCATTTAAGATATTAAAAGACAAATTTTGTCTCACGCGCTATTCTTAGAATTTTTTAATTAGAAGAATTTTTTAAAAGAATTATTTTTCGAGAACAAATATATTTACTTTTTTTGTTTCTCTCATTATAGACAAATAATTTGTGTTAATAATTCAAACTCAAATATTAAAATATCTGAAAACGAGAAGTATATAATTTATACCATTTTTACGATCACCATTTCATACAATATATATATTGTATATAATATGTAATTTTTTTATATAATGTAATAAGAAGTTCATATAAAAATCGTTCTTGCTATAAAAGTAAATAATGATTTGTATACCTGAAGGATCATGTTAAGAGCAATGCCCCAAATATCGATGCTACAACAACCTGTTTCCGTTTGCACCCTCTTTTTCATAGCACTTCCGGAAGATAATCGCGATTTTCTCGATTTAGTAGCAGTGAGGACGACCGTGAATTGCATCAACGACCAAGCCCAAATTCCCAAAGTTAAATATACAAGGACTGGTTCACGAGCAATTCTATCCTCCTTGAAGGAATCGAAGAATTCGATAATATCGGCTGCAGTTCCGATATAAACCAACAGTAACTGACTCAACTGATCTCTCGTAAGATCTCCCTTGGGTAACATCCATCGACCGATTATTAAGATGAGCATTAAAAATTGTTCTATTAAAGTTACCCAGGTTTCAGTAGATATTTGGATGTCTGGTAAATTAATGTTTACCTTAACAGTTAAATTATAATAATTAAAAATTTTATCATATATACATATAAATGTATATATGATATATGTGTTAAATATATATGAATAGAAAAAGATAAATTAATTGATTTTTTTTATTGCTTTTTCATTTTTTTCTTTTTTTTTTTTTTTATTTTTTTTTTATACGTACACCTAAAGCTTTTTCTAAATGTTTCAAATCTTCGGCTGCCAAATTGGATAAATCAAAATTTTCGGATATGTTGATATTAGATTCGCGAGATTTCAATCTCTTATCAACTTTGTCGAGCTCCAAGAGCCAAATTGCTGGCACTACGCTACTTAAATATAAAAATACTGAAGGACAGAACCTGAAATGAAAATGAATGCTATTTAAAGGCTTAGTTCGAAATGGTGAAAGGAAACGATACATCGAATCCAGGTTAGTGGTTTGCAATATTTTTACGGAGTCAATCATTTTCGACCCTATCCAACTATCATACAAAGTAGACTCCAATTCGGCTCCTCGAGTTACTAATGCTTCAATTTCCGTCTGTCAAACGGAGACGGTCCCACAAAAACACGCCCTTCCTATTACAGGATATCAGAAAAGCACTATCCGTTTAGTTTTATGTAAAAATAAAAAAAAGATTTTTAGTTTGCTTCTGATATTCCATAAAATGTTTCATGTAATTTTACGATCATTTATAATAAGAAAAAATAAAGATATGAAAGATAAAAGAAATTAAAAATTATTTATTATACGTTATCCAATAATGTGCATAATTATATATTTGTAACATTATTAAAATTATAATTTTCATAAAGTTTTTCATATTATATAAAAAAACAATGTACTCGCGTAAAAACCGCTCTTAAAGAGAAATAAAATTTAATTGTTAAAACTCACCATTTCCATTCTTGATTTTCTTTTATAGTTAGAGTGAAAACACCCTCAAAAAAGAGGAGCAAAATTGGACAACTTAGATACCAGAAAAGTGGATTCTTCTTAAACGTTGTTACCTGCCAGATAGCGATAAAACCATGCGACGCGAATACCAAACGTGTTATTATAGCTTTTATAGTGGCTAACAATTTAGCCATTTTTGAAAATATATTTACACGTTTATTATTTCTTTTTTATTTTTTGTATTAGAATGAAGCACTTTTTAATATCTTCTATATTTATATGCAAATAATTATAAGCGGTCGTACTATAATAGAGTATTTTTTTGTAAATATATTGATTTATATCTTTGCACGAGGATAAAATTATCACTTGATATGTACGAAGAAGTATTATAAAAAAGAAATTACTTTCATTTGTCGCATAGGTTGTTCTATCAGACCTGATGCGTTCGAACTGAAAGTAAGGACAAAATTCTAGATTCATTCTTTAGCTGACTTTTTAAATCCTCGCGCGCACGCGCTATCATCGATACGTATACCCGTTTTTAGTAAGAGAAAATATCGATACTTTGCTATTAAAGATTATTATTTTGACAAAATTTGAATGGAATTTCTTTTTAATTTATTTTATTTTATTTTACTAATAATAACTGAAAAATAATATAACAATTTAATATTAAAAACTAACATTTTTATCGTTATCAAAATATTACCCTTAAAATATTAATAAAGTACTCTGTATTACCGACAGTACAGTGGTAGATGTATTATTAAATGTCATATTTAGATAAATTAGACTAAATACTAGAAGTGGAATAACAGAGATTATGATTAAACAATTGGTAAGTAATATTATTTTTAATAAATTATTAATGTCATTTGAATGTGTTTGTGACTGTAACTAATACTTAACTCATGTATCTTTTATTAATTTTTTTCAGATTAAATCTTATAAAATATTAAAATGTATGTTTATTCATACGATATTTTTAAATATAATTATAAAAGATACACATTTTCATTTTTGATCTCATTTATTAAAGTTGTTTTTCAAAAGTTAATTAAAAAACAAAAATTTTATCTTTTCTATCCTTATGACATTAAAATTTTTATATTCAAATACTCCTAATATTTTATAAATACGCGCTAACGTTTACATATAATTATCTAATAATATAGTCTTTTATTTAAAATGTCCCCTTTAACATGTTATAACATTAAACGTATTCAATATTTTATTAAATAAAATAAAATTTTAGAAAAACAAAAATACATTTTCTATATTTATATCGACAATATTTAAAATTTTATTTATTATGCCAATTGTTTTTCATAATAATCAGTCTTATTAGATGTTTCAGGAGATTCAATTTTTTTACTTTCTTTATCACATGCTTCATGTAATTCAACATTTTGATTACTACTTTTACAATTGCCATGTTCATTATTTAACAAAGAATCTTGTTGAAGTTCATTTACATTTTGTATAGATACATTTGAAGATGAACTCTCGGATGTTTTTACTTCTGGTCTTTTTTTAAGTTGTGCTACGATAGTAACATAATTGGATGGTATTAAACCGACATTTTTGCTATCTGTTGCTATCCACCAACCAGGTATATTTTTAGGTTGTAAAGGTTGGGGAGCCAACCAAATTTTTTGTCCTGCTTTCAAATTCAATTCATCATTACATGTAGCTGTAAAATCATACAAGGCGTTTGCTGCATAGACTGGTTCTTTAAAATTCGTCCATTCCTTAGGATCAGTACCTACAATATTTCAAATTAAAATTGTACATTAATATAACAAATTTGTATATTACATCATTTCAATTCAAACTAAACTTACATTTTACTTTAAGCTCTTTAACATTACTCGATATTTTATGAATCAAATATGGAATGACAACAAATATGCCAAGAAATAGAAAATTAGACCATAAAGAAGTAGAGCTCCTTTCCCCTTTTACTGCTTGAATTAATGATCTTTGCCATAATTCTTCCTCAACAAGATTTCCTTTACGTAAACCTTTATAATGATGTTATATATATTTTATGTAACATGTTATATAAAAACAATATTAATGATATACTTCAATACTTATAGATATTTAATTAATTTAGAAAACTATTTCAACTTGCCAATTGTATAACTAATTTTTCTATATATCCACTTTAAGAAACGAATTAAAGCAAATGTGCTCAAAAGCTGACTAATAGTAGAACGCAATCTTCCCACACTATCTGCAACGCTTAAAATAGCTTTAAAACAATTTGTTATCGCAAAGTATGTAGATTCCAATAACATTGTAACAGACGAGAAAGTTTGCAAGATAGTTTCTAACATTTGAAAAGTAGATCTCGTGCTGTCTTCTGCATACTGTGAAAATCTGTAATGTAGATTAATTTTATTTATTTAAATACTATCGATATATCTTTCTATTATTTAAAATATTATTTAATTTTTACAAACATTTAACATACCTACTTTCTATATCTCCACTAGGTCCACCCATAAACCCATAATTATTATAATTAGAGTTATTTGGATATCCCATATATCCACCAAAAGAACCATAACTATTGTATCCTCTATAATAATTATTCATACTACCGTAACTGCCATAATTGTTTAAATAACCTGGTCTGTATTCATTATATCCCATAGATTGTCTTGGTGGTAAAGGAGGAGGAACACCCGTTGGTGGAGTATTATATGCATTAAAGGATGATTGTATACCTGATGTACTGTAAGACAATATCTTTGATTAGTTTTCTGTTTTTAAAAAATTTTCAAATATATTACTCTTCTATAAATGTCAATGATTTTTTATTCTAACCTTCACGTGTACATATTAAACTGCTTTATTTTAATTTATATTGAATATAAATATTTCTATTTCATTAACATGCAAATACCTTGTGAAAACAGAGGATGCATTTCTCAACTGATTTGTAGTAGACATATTCGATCTTTCCGGAGCCATTTCGAGGGTAAAAATTTATTTTGTTTGAATTTGCTTGAAGGATCTTAATAGTTGAAATGATAAAACTGTAATGTCGCAGTATACCTGCAAAATATCTTGGGTCAAAGTTCATGCTCTTTTAATATTCATAGATAAGCGTTAGTTCAGTTTCAAACGTTGTTTATGTAAATCATAGTTATAATATGTAAATATTATATGCTTTACTCAATTATTGGAATATTATGTTTTTATTGCTGTTTACTAAGAAATAAATGTATAATCATTTAATTAATTCTTTGATTAATAGTTTAAGACTAACACTTTAATTAAAAATTTTTAACAAACAAAATAAAAAAAAAACTTGATTTGTATCACTACATTAATATATTGAAAACAGCCTTAAAAGGAGAAACGTCACAAAGTTTCGAACGAAAATTCGACGATTGAATGTTTTCATATCATCGAAAAAATTAGGTAGTACTATATAAATTGTAATTTAAATTAATAAAAGAAAATCACACCGAATCGCATTTTTTTGTTATATATTTTTTTGTTAATATATGATAAAAGCGCTACCTATTACTAAATTTCACAGTTTTGTTAATTATGTTTAAATCCTGTCAATGAAAAGTCCAACTGTTAATAAAAATACAAAAAATAAACAAGATTTATATACATCGACATAAATTATATATTTGTTTGAATATTCATATTGATTTCTTCTTATAATATTCTATTAAAAATGCTATTTATATTGAATTATTTTCAACACTGAATGATCAGCTAAAATTTGTTAACAAATTGTCTATTACCAATATATCGTTCATGAGGCTTTACCTTAAGGATTGAGTATAGTTCCTTTTCCACCACCATTTTATATCAAACAGCGTGATCGTATATATGTAATTATTTCCGGTAATCTCTTATGTATCAACACGATGTTTCTGGACTCATTAATCTTTATATAATTTATTCTGATTAATCTTTATATATATATATATATTTATATATTATATATATATATATATATAAATATATAAATATATAAACAATGTCTGGTCTCATGGCTTTTCTCGAAGAAAATATTCGTTATGAGTTATTAGTTTTAATATGGGCTTTATACTTTTGGGATCTTTATCTGAATTTGCGTCAGGTAAGTTACACTTATTTTCTAACCCAGAATGTTTTTATTATATTTATAATATAATATCGTATTTTCAATTAATTGAATAATTATTATGATGAATATTACAGAGAAAGTTGTTGCAACGATTGACTGATATACCTAACAATGTAAAAGATATTATGACCAAAGATGTGTACAATAAAGCACGTCTTTATGCTTTGGATAAAAATAGTTATAGTTTAGTTCAAAACTTATATTCCCAATGTTTTAATACCGTAAGTAACAAAACTTTGATATAAGTATAATATATTATTTTCTTTTTTAATAATTATCTTGAAGGTTTAAAACTTTTACAGATACTTTTATTGTTCTTTGCATTTTATTATTATTGGGAATGGAGCATTCAGTTAGCAAAATGTCTTGGTTTAAATCACGAAAATGAAATTATTGTCAGCGCTGTATGCGTATTCATCAAAGTTATCATTTCTGATGTTATTGATTTACCTTTGAATATATATGATACATTTGTATTGGAAGAGAAACATGGATTTAACAAACAGGTAAGTGCTTATAGTTTCTTAAGTTTCTTAATGTTTTGTTTATTAAATACTTATGTGTACATTATGTTATTTATCGTAGAAACCATTATTCTTTATAAAAGATCAATTGCTAAAATTGATTGTATTAGAAGTAATCGTAGTACCTCTTATGTCTGGAGTGATATGGATTGTAATGAATGGCGGTGATTTCTTCTTCTTTTATCTTTGGGCATTTTCTGTTATCGTAACATTATTTATGATGATTATATATCCAGAAGTAATAGCACCGCTTTTCGATAAATATACTCCATTACCAGAAGGAGATTTAAAGCAAAAGATCGAAGCACTTGCTGCTTCTCTGAAGTTCCCTTTGTATAAATTATATCTGGTTGAGGGATCTAAAAGGTCTTCGCATAGTAATGCTTATATGTATGGTTTTTATAAACACAAAAGAATTGTTTTATTTGATACTCTTGTAAAAGAATATTACAAACCAGATAAGGATGATGTTAAGAAAGATATTGGTTGTGAGACAAATGAGGTATTGGGGGTACTTGCTCATGAGTTGGCTCATTGGAAGTTTAATCATACTTTAAAAGGATTCTTTTTATCACAGGTATAGTTTTAATTATTACTATTATTCATATATATTATATTAAATGCAATTAAATGTTTTATAAATTTTGTTTACAGATCAATTTCGTTATAACTTTTGTTGCATTTGCCAAACTAATGAATTATACACCAATGTACGTTGGATTTGGTTTTGAGAATTCACAACCAATCCTTATTGGATTTATCATTGTGACCAAATATATTTTATTCCCACTCAATACAGTAAGTATTTTAAAAATCAATATTTTTATTTAATTATATTCTTACAATCTATCTTTCAAAATAAATTTCAATAATTTCTATATCTACATTTTTAACACAATATATAAAATTTGGTTTTTCTCTTTAGATAATGCAATTTATATCAGTGGTTATCATGAGAAGATTTGAATTTCAAGCAGATAAACTTGCTGTAGAATTGGGATATAGTGAACCATTGAAGAAAGCATTGATTAAATTACAAAAAGATAATCTACAATATCCTTTATATGATAAATTGTATTCTGCTTGGAATCATAGTCATCCACCTATTCTTGAGCGACTTAGTGCTATAGATAAGGAAGATTGATATTATTAAGATAAAGTTTAACACATGAAAAGTAGAAGTGATCAATAATATGTATCTTATACTATATATGATTATAAATGCTACTACAAATGCTTCCTTTTGATTAAGAAGTAAATGGAAAGTATGTAGTAAAATAATTTTCTGTTAAAGAAAATTTTTCAAAAAATCATTATTGTCGTACAAAGCCTACAAATTAAGAATATACATTTCAAAACATCTTTAACAAATTATTGTGGCTAACTAAAGATATACATCTCTATTGTATATTTTATACCTAATCTTAGATTTTTTCATACAGCATATATATTATAGCATATATATTATATACATTTTGTAAGTTTATCACACAAATAATTTTTGTTTCTACAATATTTCTGTATGCATAGGTGTACTTCTATAGATAGGTACTTATGTTTTTCATGTATTTCATCATTTTTTAAATTTATATACTTAATGATATGACTTATAATATTATAATAAAATGTCAAATATAAACGAACTTAAAATAATAAATATAACTTAAACAAATTTAGTATGTTAATGATTCTATAATTATGATTAATATAAAATTTAAATAATTTTCTGATGGGTAGACAAAAGATTATAAGTTAAATTTTAGTAAAAATAGGATAAATATACGAATATATTCTACATTACTTTTTCTTACGTATAGTTTTATGTTACAATACGAATAAATTTTACTTCTTTCTTGATCTTTTATATTCTAACAGTATATATAAAAAATTAGTATAAATTGAGTTATACTATTTTGTCCCTACTTTTAATATTTAATCATATAGTAAAAATATATTTATACTGTTTAAAGATTATTTATTTATTATTGTATTTTGAAATTATTTTTATATAGTTTTGACTTACGCTGTAAAAAAGAAAAGCAATGCACGTGTAACAAGTTAATGTATGTGGAAAGATTTATTTGAATTACCAAATAAGAAAATACTTATCTAATTTCATGTTACCGAATAATAAAATTTTTAATGGCTTTTTGATTTTTAAATTTTATATGAAATTTTTAATTATAAATCAAAACTAATAAATAAATTCATATATATATAATCGCGTAATGTACGTAAGATGCATGCGTGATGCATATAGACATTTTCTTTACAACTTTTTTTTTATGTTTTTTAACTTTATTTCCATAAGTATCACATTGTAATGATTAATTTTCATAGTTTCAACTAATAAAGTGTCCATTTAGATAGCTTTTAAGTTTGTATACCATATTTTTAATGTTTTCATATTTTTATATAATAGATCGAAAAATTATAAGCTTCGTAGGGGGCAATTACACAAATGGCGTATTGTGTATGCGCATAATACTCACTTAATTTCCTTGCTGTTGGTGCCCCTGCCATTTTGAATTATTTTGTGGTATCGGTTGTAATGAAGCTTTGTCATCTCGTCAATTACATATAATCAGTATATTTTTTCTAACATGCACACCAATTTTATATACCAATCGATTATCGGAAACACGATTTCCACACGTAAGTGTTAACAAATTATGGCATCGTCTTGTTTAAAAGATATCCGTAAAAATAAATTTAGCGTCTCGTCGTTCTCTAGGGACGTTTTCTATTTGTTTGCTTATATTTTCATAATATCTAATTTATTTTTAATATATTCTTCTAATATATTTTCGTGATAATTAATAATTATACATAAATTAGTCGCGTTCGAATGTATTTTGTCGTATATACATGTTTTATTTATATATGTAAATATACATATATGTGTATACATATACATGTAGATATTTCTCTTATACATACCTTCTGTACACATATCGCTACATCCTATTACTCTATTAATTTCGATCTATATTTTTATTAATTTTCAACTCTACTAATATAGACCTATATTTTTTAGCTATCCAAGTAATCAACGAATAAAGAAAACTATGAAGTACCCTAGAAATAACATTAACGTAACCACTCTGTGCGTACAAGTAAGTCTATCTTCTTTTAAATACATATAGCGAGTCTTTTAAGAGCTATCCGATGCTTTTCGAAATGTAATATTGTTTAATTATTACCTCATCGTACTTCGAGTACATTGTGCATTGTTTAAATAATTATGAAATGATCATATCTATAATATGATTGAATGTAGTAGTATGGAAAGAATACATTTCGATGTGTTGTCTTCAGAGTACGAGAGGAAACTGACATGGTAACACGCATTGTCCTTCCAATGGTCATTCTTGTTGATACGAATGACGCAAGCTGAAAGGAAAACATTTTGTCTAACGCGTTTTAAAAGCTATATTTAAAATTTAACTCTATTTAAATATTCATTTATATTTTTTTTATATTTAACGTTTGTTTCGACCTACAAAATGTTTAAATGAATGTGCTGTTGTTTAAATATTAATTAGTTATTAGAATATGTTATATAGAAATTATGATTTATTTAAGGTTAAGAGAGAATTTCGATGGTTACTCTTCGAAAGGCAAAAGATAACCATTTCGATATTCGTCAAAGTCAATCTATCGTTCGTTTTTATCGATATTACGTATGGTCAATAATTCCTAGATTATTTTATGTATGTATGATTATGTATATATGATATTATTTTAGAGAAAATTAAAGTGAATTTAATTTTAGGTTAAAGTTATTGTATATTTTACGTATGTTACGAGCAATATAATGTTTAGACGAATTTACTATTGTTATTAATCTATTGTGCTCCATATTCATTATACGTCGTTAAAATAATTATAAAATTATCGAAAGTATAAATTATTAAAATTTTTTTTTCGTGTTTTTGAGTTATATTTCTATAGCTATTAAATTTTAATAATTAATTTTTTTAGTTTGAACTAATATAGTATCCGTTTAGATAGTTTTTAAATTCTTATATCATATTTTTAATGTTTTCATATTTTCGTATAATAGATCGAAAAATTATATTCTTCGCGGCCATGTACAGGTGGCGTATCGCGCATGCGCGTGGATGAATTTAGTTCCTTGCTGTTGGTAATAACACCATTTTGAATTATTTTATCGTATCAATTGAAGCATATTTCGTCGTCTCGTTAATTACAGGTTATTAGTATATTGTTTTTTAACGTACATCTTTATTTTATGTATTAATCGATTTCCCAAAATGCGGTTTCCATGTATATATGTTCAGAAGTCCTGACATCGTCTTGTTTAAAAAATATCCACGAAAATAAAATCGGCTTTTTTGGCTTCTTTTGTGAAGCTATAACGTCATATTTATTTCTCGGATTTTCCAGCTTTATTTTCGCGATATCGATACTTCTCTGATCTTTTAACAATGCTCTAATTAATTAGTTCTTCGTTAATTAGTCGTGTTCGATTGTATATCGATCATGTATCAATATAAATATTGTATATCGTATATACGATTTTCATAGACACATGATAGATATCTGCTTATGGACAAATACAAATATCAATAACACTTCCACGCATACATATTCGCATACAATTAATTTTCTACTGTACTAATATCGATTTAATATTTTTCAGCTTTCCGAGTAACGTATAAACTGATAAAACTACGCAGTATGCTAGAAATGATATTTGAAACGCAGCCGTCCTGCACGCACACGTAAGTCTATGTTTTTAAATAAATACCTTGTTGCTTTTAATAGAGAGCGAAAGAGAGACAGAAAGAGAGAGAGAAAGAGAGAGAGAGAGAGAAAGAGAGAGAGAGAGAGAGAGAGAGAGAGAGAGAAGGAAATAATATTAAATAATAGCTTAAAAGTTCATCGATCAATTGTCTACAACGAGCAATTAAATAAAATATATCTCTATATAAATATATATAAATATGTATATATATATATGTTTGTACATATTATATCATTTGGAGAATTTAGGAAGTACTAGCAAAAGTACGTATAAACAATCAAAGAACGAACGAGATCTCCACCTTAATACGAATATTTCCTCCGTTCGTTCGTACTGATATATTATGTAGTTCCTCATTCTATATAAGCAGCTTTCGAGATGTGTTTAGACCTGTTTCACTTCGTTAATTTAATTAAATTAATTACGGTTTATTAATCTTACTTTATGTCTATTTTGAAATTATGCAATAAAATATTTTATTATAAAATTTTATATATAAAATATTAAATATATGCAATATAATATATATATATATATATGTATATATATATATATATATATATATATATATGTATATGTATATATATATATATATATATATATATAATTTTCAAACTGTAATAATATAAAAGGATGAAGTGATTTATTATCTAATAAATTTATTCCTTTTACGAGACATTTAATTATAATTTAATTATATTCTATATGAGCCGTTGATGAATCTAACATTTCAACTTCAGAACTCATATCACCGGTTGAATAGTTTACAACAGCATCTCTGGAATCAGTAATTCTATTAGATGTATTTGTTTCTGCTTTACTCGAATCTTCACCCCATCCAGAAAATAAATTTACTCTTAATTTGCCAATATCTTGATCTTGTGAATTAACTGTGCTACTAGAAGTTTTTGCAGATTCTATTATTTCTGGTTCTATTCTAGAATCAGAATTTGTGTATTTTGGAATATCAATAGGTGCATCTGAAATATGTGAATATAAATTTTAGTTTTTTAATTCATGAAAAATTATTTATGGATAATAAAGTTTATATATACCAGGATATGGTGGAGCTTCATCAATAAGTTGTTCCATAACATAAGTTAGCATAGTAGTTGTAAATGTATCATCTCTTCTAAGTCCTAAAGCTCTATGAAAAGCATCAACTGCTTCTTGTATATTTCCCATTAAAGCATTAATAAAACCCATTGCTGAATATGTTGATGGATTTAGAGGATTTAATACTAATGCCTATAATACAATAATACATATTAGTTACGTATCTTTATAATAAAATTTTCAATTTTTATATGCAAGAAAAAAAAAGCAATTTAAGAATTATAATGTATGTATATTTTCTTCTACCTGTTGGTGATAATTTAAAGCTTCTTCATATTTTTTCATTTTTCTACATGTGTGACCCAAGTTATTCAAGAGTGCTTCCCATTTACTAGGTAAAATTACATCCTTAAGTCCACATTGAACTCTTCTCATAGCTTCCTTAAATTGCCTTTCTGCAGTTTTGTAACTGTATTAGATGAAATTACAACTCTTGATAAATTAGATATATTCCGAAATATTATTTAAATATGTAATAAAAGCTTACTCCATATTATAGAAAGATATTACTCCCATTTCATGTATAACAAATGGATCATTTGGTGCTATTTCTTGAGCCTGTTGAAAAAACTTGTCAGCCAGTTTAAGATTATTTGTTAATCCACATTCCAGTCCTATGTATAAAAGTGGAAGATGACAACCTTTCATTAATTGTGACGCGTTGAAATAAGCAGCCATTGCTTGATCATGTTCATTTTCTACTGCAAACGAATGTCCATACACTAACCAAGTTGGTGCAAATAAACTATTCAATGTGGTAGCTTTTACTAAATATCTTCTGGCTGGATCACTTTTACCTGTGCAATATAAATGTAGTATTTAAAAGATCCATTAAGAAAAAGAAATTATGAACGATATTTCAAGGTATATTTCATAGGTAGATATATTTTACCTATGCTGTAATAATAACATCCTACAGCAAACCATGCTAAAGCCATATCTGGATATAGATCAACCAATTTGTGTGCCAAATAAAATAATGCTGAAAAATAAATATATTATCTAACAAAGAATTTATTATAAGTGAATAATATTATATATAAATATTCTAACTAAAAAATAATATTTACCATTGGTTTTTTTTAATTCAACTAAGCAGGCAATATGTACTGGCAGACATGCGGTATGATATGGATCCTTGTTTAAAATTCTATGTAATTCATTAAGATAATATTTTATAATATATTAAAGAATTAAATATTGGAAAGAGAGAATGTTCTATAATCACCTTTCTGTAAGCGAAAAACATTTATGATAATCACAATTGTAATATAGTCTTTCAGCTTCAGAAACTTCTAAATCTAAATTATCAGACAATCTATCAATAACAGGGACTCCCATCACACTGCAAGTGGCCAATGATTGTTTTTTGTATGGTTCCTGATATTTTTTTAGTTTACTTTCATATAATAAACGTAATAGATCAGCTTCAGCTTCTGTGCATTGTTCTCCAAAAGGAAGAGATTCCAAAAGTTCTCTTTCTAATAAAATTAAACAATTCCATTATGATAGGTTTTGTTATTTCATGTATATGTATATATATAAGCAATAATTTCCATATAAACCTTCTGTTGCTGAAAGCATTTGATTTTGTACAAGAGATTCAAATGCTTGATATGAATAAACATCACAATGTAGAGCTTGTTTGTAACAATCTGTTGCCATTGCTCTATTATCCATAGCTTGATAGACTTTACCTTTTACGTATAATATAGCACTTTGCACCTAATAGAATAATAAATAAAAATTGATGAAAAATAAAATATATAACTTGACATATTTGTTGAATACATAAAGTAAAAATTGATTGAATAAATAAATATATTAAATAAATTAATATTAATATTAATATTTTCACAAATAGACTCACATTTTTTGAGGTATCTTCAAGAATATCAGGACGATCATTAAAACTAATTCCCGATTGATTTATATTTGTACAAATTTCAGATTCATTAATGACTTGTAGAGCTTCATTATATTCTCTAGCTTCGTAAAGACTTTTTACTGCTAAATAATGACACATTACATAGGTCTGAAAAATGTACACAACTATAATAATCATATAATAATTTATGATAAACATTGCTTAGTATTAATAATCCATAATTTCATATTTTACCTTTTCAAGTCCACGACTTCTAATAAGGTGTGCAGCTCGATGGTATTGTTTCATAAGATACATACAGTGAGCTAAAGTGCATATATCTTTTGGATCTTCGTTACTCAATGAAACCACTTTATCGGCCCAAAACAAAGCGGCACTATATAAATGCTGTAAATACATCAAATATTAATATATAATATAATATTTACCTTAACGTTACAAAATAAAAACATATTACCAAATCGATGTACGATTTGATGAGTTTCCTGCAGTTTTTTAAGTCTATATCTTTGTTATCCATAGAACTCTGCATTTTTTCGCAATTTGTTGCATTAGCCGCTTGACAAGCCATATTCAACGTTTATTTTAAAATTATATAGCAGCTGATAAGAACTACTATGACAGATTGTAGGAATAGGTTAAGTAACTTTGTAATAAATATTTACGTTGAAAATCGTATTTCTTCAAGACGTTACATATATATTACAGGTTACAGTTTTGCATTAAATTTTTTGAAGTTAAAGTAATACCATTAAACAGAACATAATATAATACAATATCAGTTCACTTTCTTGATTATTTAGAGATTCTTACAAGTGTTTATAAAAATTCAGAAATAATTTAAATTTTGTACTTGCGAGGTTAGATGGCGTTGTAAGTATACCAACTGTGGCGACCTCGTTGCGACTGTTACGCTTCCTATGGCAAGACATATAACTAACACGTCTCGGCGCCACCAAAAACACACGTGGGAAATCAACCAAAGTGAAAGACAACAAAGACGCCAGGAACAAAAAAGAAATCATTCATTTTTTCTTTGATTCTTTTTTAAACCGCAGCCATACTTACTGGAAGTGGTTAGTTAGATTAAACTATTGTGTACTTGACAAAGTTAAACAAGTATATTACAATTATTGTTTATTATTGTGCAAAGTTTCTTTCTACATAGTGAGTTGTCCACAAAAAATTGATACAACAATGGAGGAAAGACTGCTAACATTAAATAAATACATATGTTGGACGCATTTCGAAAAAGTCAAATTTAGCTCGATATTATTTCTGATAGAATGAATATCATGTAAAACATTATATATATTTGTTACATCGAAAGTAATACTGATTGCCGGTATCTTATCATTAATTTATATAACCTAAATGTGTTTCTTATTACTAAAACATAACAAAAAATATTTCTTTTTATTAAAGTATTTAAATATTTAAACATTACATAAAATGTAATATTTAATAATTATTTAGTATTCTAAGATTTAATACATATATTTTTTTTTTCATTTATATTTATACTTAGATTAAATTTATACATTTATCGCTTTTTAAACTGAATTTAAACATTTTTATTGTTTTTATTTTTGATATTGCTATTATACTTTGCTACTGACTGTTTTATCATCGAATGAAGAATATTCCAATGTATTCATTATTTTCACGAGAGGT